ACTATCATTATCAACGTTATTAACCGTCACACTATTATATAGTATAATTTTTAATCTAATATTTGTATGTAAGAAGATATAAAGTTTTAAACAGAGCTAACTAAAGTCTAAAACTCTAAAACTCTTAAACTCAACACTACAAAAATATTTCTAGAAATCTAGATACTTCAACTTCTTAATTGGTTGATTTTAGCTTCTAATACAATACAATACAGATACACATACAATAAAGATACATACACATACAGTGGGGTTGTTAGGGAATTGGACTTGGGCAAGTTAATTTTTAGTTAAAATGTTAGTTAAATTAGTTTGAAAGTCAGTTAAAAGCTGGTTAAAAGTTAGTTGCTAACTTTAAGCAGAACAAATGAATGGGTTGTAATTAAGTTTTAAACTTTCAAGTTATAATATAAATTATAAAAATGTAAAAAACAAGCTTTTAATTCCATATCTATACTCATTTTATGACCTACATATATCCATATGAAATAAATGAATTAAATGAGAGAATGGTTTTGGCATTTTTCTTATTTTCATAAATTATTAATATTGATTTAACGTTTAATATGAGGTATGTTTCTAGATTTTTGTTTAACAATTAATAAATTATTGATAACTACTTATTTTTAAATAATTGCTTTGTTTGTTTATACTTTTATATCATTTAATTTTTACCCATAGTGACATCCAGATATCTGTAGAGAGTAAAAGGCTGAGATTATTTGAGAGTGGTCAGTTGTCTATTAAATTTTCAAAAAATTTTCCTTTTTTAATTAATTAATAGTAAATATTCAATAAACTTTTCTTTTTTTTAAATATGTAATTATTCACTTGTTTTTATTTGGAGTATTATATATACAAATTTTTACTTACATTATAATGTTTGAATTTGTTGATTTTTTTAAGTTTGTTCAAGTTTCTCAGCTTAATGTCGCTAAAGCTAGCAATATCAAAATGTAATAAATTTTAAAAAGTATTTTTCTTTGTAATCTAACAAAGAAATAAATTGGAATGGTAAAAATTTTTATTTGATAAATTAAAACATAATCAAATATTATTGAACTTTTTGCTATTTTTTTTCTATCCTAACCAGATTCTAGGATTGGTGATAGCTTAGGTTCAGGTTGCCCTGATTTTGACATACCGAAGCTCGAGTTTCATGAAAGTATGGAAAGCCACAAACCATCTAAAGTTGGCCATTGTATAAAAAATCAGAATCATGTAGATTTAACAGAAGAATCCAGGCACCAGGTTTTGTTTTTGCCCTTTGTTCAATTCCAAACACTATTTTTTTAGTCTTTATTATTGCAGCTCTGACATACGCAGAGCCACTTACAATGTTACAGATATATTATCTAATTATTGACTGTGTAATCGTGACTGGTCTGATCAGCTTGAATACTTTTTTTGTGGGGTTTTTCTTTTGAATGTCAAATTTCCTCAATACCTAATTATTTTATTGTTAGGACAGATTATTTATAAGATATTTATTTCCATTTCAATTACAGGATTTATTTTCAACTCCCTCAAATAAAAATAAAGAACAGAGAGGTTTTTTTTATTAAATTTTTTTTTATTTTCATTATTCCGTAATTTCATTTTTTAAATTATCGAATTATTTATTTATACCACCTTTCATTTTTCAATTTGATAATTTTTCATAAATAATTAAATTTATTTGTAAATAAATAAATGCTGCCAACAACAGGAGCCAGAGAATCAACAAATGGATACAACTTCACAGAGGCCGAGATGAAATTATATTCAAGGTACAACTTCTACAGTCATGCCACTGATGATGGAGAGAGAAAGAGTTTGTTCTTTTTTTTAGATTTGTATTTTTCTTGATTGTGTTTGTTTGACGTATGGTAATACCTACATTATGTATATTTTTGTATTCCAAAACCTCTGTTGCTTGCTAGGTATTGTACACAGTTTTTTTTTAGACACACTGATAATTTTTGGTTAGGTCTGTGTGTTCGTTGTGTTAGTTGCAAATTATTACTGTGTTATATTTCAGCAGCAGACGTTTATGTTAATGTTGTTGATGAGTAATTAATTAATTAATTTACTCATTTATTTGTTTTTCTCTTCATCTTAACTTTCAATTAAAAATCGTTCTCTAATCCAACAAAATAACAACAGCCATAAATATAAAAAGTGTATTTAACCATACAGCGCGTGAAACCCCAAATTTCATTGGTCGGCCATCAATTCATGCTTACAAGAGTGACTCTCAATCAGCCAATCATAATCAGGCTTGCATTTTGAAGGCTCCACCGACAGATAGGTTGTATATGTGTACACATATACAATACAATATACATACAAACATACAATACAATATACATACACATATACAATACAATAATATAATAAAAATATTATACAAATTATTGAAAGATTGAACCAAAAACTGATCAAAGCTGAAAATGCAGTGATATTTCTTAACAATTGTATCAATGACAGTCTCAAACCTAATTTTAATACAATATATATACAGATATACAATGTATATAATATTTTATTTATTAGTCTCTTTTAAAATTCATAACATAGTAATAAATCAATTTCCATTTTTAAAATAAAGTCTCTAATAAGTATCGTTACGGTGAATGTTGTAATGATACCTTGTAGACATCAGCTGTTATACGAAAAAGTACACGAAAGAGTTCGTCCTGGCACATCAGCTGAGACAGCTAAAAGCAACAAGTATTACAGCAAGTATCTGACAGCAAAGCAGGTTTTTTTCGTGCCTTTCTACGTCTGTTTGCTTGTTTGTTTGTTTGTCTGTTTGTTTGTATGCCTGCTAGCTTCACTGGGCGTGGTTTCGTTAATACTGTTGTCCATTAAATGTAACTTGTTCTGTTTTGTTGTTGTGTGCAAAAACAGTGCATCAAAATGGACGAGAAGAGGAAGTATCGAAGTCTCATCGAGAAGTACATCAGTGCCGGCACGACACGTATTAATAATAATTATAATTATAACGGTGATGATGATAGTGGTGATGGTGGTGGTGGGTACGTAGGTATCAGCAACGACAATGTCAAAAGTCACAACCGCAGTTACAATGGCAGCAGACTGGCGCAATTCAACAAGGGCTCCAACTCCACTTCATCCTCCACTACCACCACACTTGACCACCACAAACATGTCCTCGATGACAGTAACAACAAACAATCACATCGCTCCTACATCAGCAACAACAATAACAACAGCAGGGGCAGTAATGGTAACATCAACAACAGCCTTGATAAAAGTTACGACAGTTGGTTAAATTCTTCAATGAATTCTTCGATAAATTTTTTTTCAGCTCAGCAAAGAAGAAGAAACTTTTACCCAAATGACAGCATCTGCCACAAGAACATCAATAGACACACCAGTAGCTCATCACCAATCTCGATTAGTAGCAGCAGCAGTATGAGCATCCAGCCAATCACTGATTGGGATTCCAAAAAAGGAACAAAGTTGGACCAATTAGAGTGCAGATTACAAAAAACTACCGACCTGCTAAATGAGGTTACCGACCTCACAAAATCGGACAGCTCCTCTGGCAGTTATTCAAATAATTATTTAGACAATAATTCCATTAGATGTCGTAATAAAAATAAACCTTTCTCGTCGTCGCCGGTGGCGCTAGTTGAGTCCATGTTACGTGACGATGATAACGCTAATGACGTCATCGTCATCGAAGACGATGGCGACACAATCAAGTTAGTCTCTTCAGTCCATCATCATTATCATTATTATAAAGGCTTATTTATTTTTATTATTTATAATTTTCATCTATTTTTATTGTTATTTTTCATCATTGTCATCGTTTTTTCGTTTTTTTTTTCACCAGTTGTCATATGGTTATTTAATCGTCTCGTAACAAATAAGGATAATAACATTGCACTAATAACTGTTAACCAGTAGTTGTTAGTTAAGTTGGGTTACAAGTTCGAATGTTTAATTAACATTCTACCTTCCTTATTATCATAATATCTTAATCTCTCTGATTTTTAAAGTTAAGTTTTATTAACAAACGTAACAAACGCATAACTCTCTCTCTCTCTCTCTCTATACTCTCTCTCTCTCTCTCTCTCTCTCTCTCTATATATATATATATATATACATATATACAAAAATTAAAAATATATATATATGTGTGTGTATGTTTGTATTGCTGGCTGGAATCCATAGCTGAAGTGTTGTTTAAACTTCATATTAATACTGCTACATCACTTTGTTATCATTACCATCATCACTATTAGCATTGATATCATTCATTATTGTCTACTGGCTATCGAGTTGCTGATGTGATGATGACGCAATAATGATGAGATTTGCGTAAACAGGGCAGCCTAATTAGTTACATATCAGTCTACCATTTATTTATTAATTTTTATCACAATAAAAAAATTCCTCGTCAATCGCTGTCCTTATCACAAAGATGCCAGAGCAAACGTCACCTGAGTCGAGAGCAATTTCAAGATCTATACCACGAACGATTTGGGGCATTGGCTGCAGAAACGACATCGTCCTCGCCACTTCCTCCCTACTTCCAAGCATCGCCAAGCGACACCATCTGCATTAATGATGATTCGCAGGTAGTGGAGGATAAGGAGAAGTTTGGCAATTATAACAATGGCAATAATTATGCACCTGGACAATCTGACTGTCTTCCTGGGCCATCTAGTTATGTGCCCGAGTCATCTTATCGTACTCCTCTAGGATCATCCCACCATCATGCTGTTTCCGAGTCACCATTATGTGCCTCTTCTGAAACCTTAGCCAGACCAAGTATAAGGTATTTTTTTTTTACATTATTTTAAACTCCTTATTCTTCAATATAATCAATTGTGTTTTTAAGTTTTTTTTTTCTTAAATAATTTTTCATAATGTTTCAGCAGATTGTATTTAGATAATTGATGAAATAATTAAAAGATACTGCCTACATCTGATAATAATGTTAATGGAATGATTAATTTTCTTAAATTTGATTGATTTTTAGAAGAGATTTTGAACTGAAGATGACGACGTTACCCATATTGAATAAGGATTTTGTTAAAGAAGTGTAAGTAATTTGTATGTGCTGTTCTCTCTCTCTCTCTCCTCTCTCTCTTTCTCTCTCTCTCTCTCTGTGTGCGTGTGTGTGTCTGTCTGCTTGTTTTTTATGTTTATTTTGGTGGTCTAGAATAACGATGATAAAGTAGTTTTTTTCATGATGATGCCAGCAGTGTTGTTTAGTGTGACGGTAATAGTGTGAATGATTGATTGATGATTGATTGAATGTGTGAATGATTGTTACATGGTCATTCTTTCATTATTCAATTCAATTCATAGACTTTACTGTATATATACATCTGTTAACTTCATCTGATCACACACATACACACATGCACACCACATAGCTACACATCACTTCAACTACACGCCACGCCCCACCTCACACGCACATACACTCACACATACACACACTCACATACACATACTTACACATACACACACTCACACATACACACGCGCGCGCACATGAAGGTGGACAAAAACGGAAATGGATGAGAAGAGTAGGGAGGTGATGGTGACCCAGATCCAACTGGATGAATACAAGAAATGTAGGATGGACGACGAAGAACTTGTCTCTCGGAGGGTAAGATTATCGTTCATTTCTTCTTTTAAATACTCCGGCTACCTTTTTAAAGTTCTCCTTTGTAAATAATAAATTTATTTACAAACAATTTTGTAAACCTTTTATGTAAAAGTTAAGTGGTGTATAGTTGGGTTGGCTGATTTTAGAAAAATGTGATTTCAGTTGATTTAAATACAGCGTATGCATCATCTTTTCACCATGCTTAATACTGTTTATTAATTAGAATTATTATACTCTTTTTAAAATATTGTAACTGAAAAAGAAATTGCCGATTTATTAGGCTGATCCGTGGCGAATGTCGGCTGTGTTTTGCTGGTCTTGCGTGAAATATAAATTACCCTTCATAGCTAAATAACTCTCTTCCTTTTATACAAAAATTGTAAATTTTTTCGTGAAAAAAAATGTTTCAATTTTAAAAATTGTTGGCAGATGAAAAGATTGTTGAACATAACAAGACGTCTGCCAGTACCTAATGAAGAACATTATCTGCACATCTCTGATCAGGAAGAGGAGGAAGATGATGATGACGTCAAAATTATTGATGGGGTCTTCGAGGAGGCTGTAGATGAGTTTCCAGGTTGGTTTTCTGCTGCTGCTGCTAATGATGATGATGATGGTGGTGTGGTGGTGATGATGTCCTTGTTGTTCTTTCATAATTCTATATTTCGAATGAAATAATTACTCTACCCTTCGTCTCTTCGTCCGTTGAGGTTTGTTTTTAATGTTGACACAAATAATTGTAATAAAATATTTATTTACATTTTGACAACATGATATTATTATTATTATTATTATTATAATTATTATTGATAATGATGATGTTAGTGGTGATGATAACGTTTTTCAGAACTGAGCGCAAATCAAGAGTCTGAAGTAAACAGAGCACTGAAATGCATGAATGCCAGCAAGGTACTGGTTGAAGGCTTCAGACTGCAGATCACCTCTAAGGACATCTCAACACTTGCTGGATTGAACTGGCTGAATGATGAGGTTTGTTGGTTGAATATTTGATCGGCAAGATTGATTAATCGTTTACTTGATCGTTTGTTGATTAACTAATTAGTTGGCTGGCTGGCTAATTAAATGACTGGTTGATTGCTTTATTGGTTGAATGATCAGCTAATTAGCAGTTAGTTGGTTGATTGGTTGACTAATTGAACGGTTGGCTGCTTAGTAGGTTTATTAACCGCTTGGCTAGTTGAGTGATTGATTGATATATTGGTTGGTTCGTTGGCTGAGAACGTCTGATTGTCATATGTTTGTATAATTTTCCATTTATATTTTGTACTAAAACAGCAGAATGTTGTGTCATTAATGTCATTATCAATTCCTACAACTTTGAATGGATGCTTCATGTATATATTAAACAGGTAATTAATTTCTACATGAGCCTCATAGTTGAAAGGAGTCAGCTGGATACAAGTTTGCCCCCGGTGTACGCTTTCAATACATTCTTCTACCCTAAGGTGAGGTGATGGTGGTGCTGCTAGTGGTGATGACCATGTGCTGGTGATGGAAATTAGTTTTGATAGCTATACCGACGATGGTGACACAGGTTTATCTTTCTACACACAGATATTTACATGCACACAAATCTGACATGGAGCTAAAAGTTGAGATGATCATGACTTTTTATCATGACATTAAATTGTTTGTCGGTTTCATTGATGAACAGTTGACACCTAAGCAACTTTTTTCCTTCCGATTTCAAATGTTCATCATTTCAAATATATATTTTTTTCTGTTTGATTGTATTATTTCGATTGAAATATTTTTCTCTCAAGGTGGCCGCAGATGGTCACAAATCAGTTAGACGGTGGACAAAGAATGTGGACTTATTTGGTCATGGGTTGATCTTGGTACCTGTTCACTTGGGCGTCCACTGGTGCCTTGCTGTATGTTTCTATCCTATTTTATTAAAAAAAATTTCAACTAGATGTACTTTTAATTAACTCTTATTCTCTTTTACTGATTGATTAGAGACTTAGCTTGTTAAAGCTGTTTCATACAAGCTGAAATTTTTTTTCAAAATTTTATTCTCATTCAATTTAGAACTTCACTCAACTAAGTGTATTTATTTTGTTACTGAAATACTACATAAACATAAAGAAATAATGGGCGCGAAGAACATACGCTCATATCTAAATGATATAAAATGTTATTATAACATCATTATATATAATGACTTTTCAAAACCAGAAATAAACACACACACTCACTTACCTATATACTTCTAAATAAAAAAAGAAATTCAATTGAAATTGAAATCTAAAATAGCATTACCTGCTATTTTACAACTTGGATCTTTTCATTAGTTTGACGCAATCATTTACGCATCGGTAAGAGAACAATACATACCGCACAATCACAGGTGATCGATTTTTACAAGAAGGAACTTCAGTATTATGATTCGATGGGTGGTGACAACAGAAAGTGCCTCGATGTTCTACTGTTAGTGGGACATCTTTCTTATCTCATTGCAGTTTTTATTCTTAAATTCACCTACACACACGGCGATGCTTATCATCATTCAAAATTGTGTAAACGCATATGGATGACGCGACAAATTTAGCTTAACCTACGTTTGAACAACTTTTTAAGGAATTTCTACTAAAATTTGTTTAATTGAAGCACGCTGTACTTATCAAACCAACTTACTACTTATCACACAGCACTTATCTAGTGGACGAGATGAATGATAAGAAACAGGAAAAATTTGATACTAGTGGATGGGTCAAAATACTATTGAAGGTGGTTGCTTGCTTGTTGTAAATTCTTTCTTAAGTTACTGCTTATTAGTTGTCGGGTGGCGAAATCTCCGTTAATGCCATTAACCTTTTGAAATTATTTTGGTAAACTTATTTCAATATTTGTGGCAATTAGGTTAACAATTTTAAAATACTGAGCCGCATGAGGTTTGTACATGTACGTGATCAATGACTTTTCCCAGGACATCCCGCAGCAGATGAATGGGTCAGATTGCGGCATGTTTGCTTGTAAATTCGCCGAGTACGTCACTAGGAGGGCCAAATTCACCTTTAATCAGGTTTCTTCATTTATGAATCAACATAATTATCATTTACTGTTTGTGAATGTCTATGCTTTACTTCGTAGAAGACGTGCTGCTATTACTTGCAAGGTTTATTGTTTTAAATTTTAACATTTACTGCAAACACACCCTACAGAGCCACATGCCTTATTTCCGGCGGAGAATGATCTACGAAATCTTAACGAAAAAATTAATGTAGACAAATATTGTTATCAATTCGAAATTTATTCAGTGAAATTTCTTTTTACAAAAACTGAAAGAACTGTTTAGTTTATTAACAGAACACCAGCATACAACAATTAATATATTTGTCATTTATGTGAAAATAAAAATGTTAATCAATTTTCAACTTTTGTCGACGTTCGAATCAACAATCTCTTTCTGTGCATTTCTTATAGTTCTTAAGTGGTCATTAACTTTTTTTAAAAAGTAAATGTTGCTCCTTCCATGTTGAACATAAATCTTGGAATCACTTTTCAAGGACTTCAATTCATTCTCCAGAGCAGAAAACCGCTCCAATTCATTCAGCTTCGTTTTCTCTTCACTCATTATAACGTCTTGACGTGACTTATAAAAAAAAATGGCAATATTTAAAAAATCCCATCCTTTTACACTACAAACCATAAAAGCTTGCACCTCTTAAATTTGTCATGGGTTTGTGTTTGGGTGGTTCTAGGCTAGCACCCGGTTGGATCTTATAGCAGTACAATAACTTATTCAGGCACACTTTAAGCATGCAATTGGGAGCTAAATGGATATAATATAGTATAATGGTTATTAATCCAAACTGAATATTAAGTCGGTCTGATTTTATGTTGTTGATGCAATCTCAGAAAAAATACAGCCTTTTTTTTGTTTCATGACGAATCAAACGGTAATTCCTAAGTTTTCATCACTGATTGCAACATAAAAACGTCGTAAATCAAGATATAGTAGAAAGATAGATAGAACGAGACCTACAATCACATTCAGTTTGCAGTTTGAAACTTCAGAAATAAACAGCCGAAAAGTTATCGTCATAATTTAATATCAGACGGTAATTCCAATATGAAATTATCATCATCAGTTTCAACTTCAAAAGAGGAATTATGAAGTGAATTTTTAAATAAATTTAAGAACTAATCCTAATGCATCTCAGAGGTAGTGACGAAATGAATTTTTTCATCAAAATTCAGTTACAAGTTAAAATAAATTAACATCATAGATGCACATGCAAAATATATTTCATATTAATTGATAAATTTAATTAGAAATAATAGTAAAAAAACAAAATCTCAGAGGTTCAGACATTTTCGTGTAGTAATAAAATCACGAAATCATAACACCGAATTCATCCTTGATTTTATAAATAGATGCAATAATACATGAATATTTAAAATACAATCGATAAAAAATAAAAGAAAAATTAACGAGAACTACACTAAAGTTAGGGAATCACGAAACACGTGCAGACCAGCACCGCTATCACTAACCAGCAAGAAAGTGAGAAACCGTGCAAACGGAAAAAGAAGTCAGTGAAGCATAGATATTAAAAAGTTAAAAAAAATTTAAATATTTTAAACTCATTTAATAAAATGTCGTGGTTGATTACTTTTTTAAACAATTCTTTTTAAATATATTAAAATAAACAGTTTTTTTACAGATTTTTAATTTAAATTTGCATAGTACGTATAACATTTATAAAGAAATCATGATTATATGTGTAATATATATATATAATAAAATGAAAATTTAAGTAATCTACGTATAATATATTTAGAATCTGTATGGGCATAATTCAATGAACCAAACTTTGAATTGAGAATATATAATATTCTGATGAATATTCATCAAAAATTCATTAAAACTAATAAAAGAAAGCATCAGAATTTATCAGAAATGAATTTTTTTAAATAATTAAAAAAATGTTGAAAATGTGACCAATATTAATCATATTTTTATTCAATGTTATCATTAATTTTTAGCGCGAGTACTTACTATACAGTACAAAACGGCGGTTAAATTTTCCATTTAAAATAATTAATTAAATAACATTTAAATAGCAATTTTAATTGAAATGGGTGGATCGGATAGTAATGCTAATGAGAAACGTGGATGTTTCATCGTGCTGGAGGGATGTGACAGAAGTGGAAAGACAACTCAATGCAAGTTGATCACCGAAAAATTAAACTCTGAAAATATTCCGGCCCATCATCTCCATTATCCAAGTTTGATTATCGTCATTATTTACTTTTTTTAATAGTTTTAATCACGTCCGTTGTGTTCAAGTTCAAAGATCACAATATGAAGGTATTATTGATGACACACCTTTCAATTCCATATTTTTTAAAATTTAGTGTGCAGGTTGGAAATTCTATTCATAGTTCTAATTTAAGAACTCTGAACCAGACAAAATGGAATGATAAATTAATAAAATTAATTTAATTTAATTGAAACGCCACATACACAGACAAACACATTATGATAATCTGCTATCCTTAAGTTAAGACAGTCAAAAATGTAAATTTATAATTTTATATGCCTTAGAATTTTTACCAACTATAAAACTATAAATGTTTCTTCCTTCTCAATATCACAATCCTTAATGATTACATACACATGTGTAATAATGTTTTTTATTTGAATCTGGCCACTACACTTAAAATGTGGTGGAGTACTTCTGCTGCTATTATTAATAAATTAATCGAATCATTTTCCTAAATTTCCATTTTAAATTTATTTAATAATTAGTACAACACGAAATGAAATGATTACAGAAAGATCAACATGCATTGGCTCTCTAGTAGATGCCTACCTCACCAAACGTCTGACACTCAGCGACGAGCAAATTCATCTTCTGTTTGCCATTAACAGGAGGGAGACCATGTAGTTAATTAAATCATTCATTAGTAACTTCATATTATTATTATATTATTTATTTTTATTATTTTCTTATTATCTGCTAGTGTTTTAATTTTTTTCAGTATAGTTCACTTTTTAAATAATAAAATTGTATTATGCATGTATTTTTTGTTTAAAATGATACAGTGTCGAAATAGAGGAATATTTAAATAATGGGACATCACTAATTGTCGACCGCTACTCATTCTCGGGAATTGCATATTCTTCTGTTAAAAAGGTTTCATATATATAATAATTTACTCTTGAAATCTTTATTATCTTTTTGACATATAATTAATTATTTTTTTGCTAAATTATTTATTATTATAATTTGTCTATTTTTGAATAAAAATGTTTTACGATCTCTGCGAATAAAATGGGATTAAAATTTGTGACCAGGGCATGGATTTGGCATTCTGCAGAGCAACAGAGTTAGGCCTACCCAAGCCAGATGCTACTATATTTCTGGACAGCTCCATCGCTGATCGAAAATCCAGAAATGCTTTTGGAGATGAGATTTATGAGAATGAGGATACACAAAGTAGGGTTTATCAGTTCTATAAAGATCATTTCTTTCCTGATATGAAGGTTATTTTTTTGTACAGGTAGTAAAAACTTTGTTAATATTGGTTTTTTTAACTTAATGTTTGTTTATTATTTTCTTAAATATTTTTCTAATATTTTTTTGTCTTTGTTAATTTTTGCTATGAACAATCTGTTTTTTAAAATCTAACATTACAAAAATAATGCGTATTCAAGTTTCTCTAAATGTTAATTTATTTCTTTAAAGTAATTTTCATAGAATTCTACAAAATTTCCAAACGAATATTTTCTCACGAATCGATTTGAAACTTGTGGCACAGGTAGTTACTGTGGAAGGGACAATAGATGAAGTAAACAATGCATTAATGCCCATCGTTCAAGAACTCATCCATCGATGCAGACAGAATATTGAAACATTTAATTATCATAATTTAAAGGTTTTTAAACTATTTAATATTTTTAATTTTTGATATTTTTTCATTTTCACTGGTTTAGCTAGAATAATTTGGCTGAAAGATACTTAATAATAGGTACAAAAATAGGCAACCTTTGCCATTCAAACTGTTCATTTCTATTTAAAAAAATATATATATATTGTTATATGTAATATTAATATATTATATATAATTTTATATATTGTTAAATATATTATTATATATTGTTATATATATATATATTTAGGTTAAGTTTCTTTCTTGAAGCCTTAAGCTCTAAGTGTTATACACAAGTTTTTTTCATATCGGTATTGCCCCATTGTATTCTTGCCATTGCAAAACTTTAGTGGAAACACAAGTAACATAATGCATTCATTTTAACTTGGGAAGACAACCTTACGATAACGAAATCTGCAACAGGTAGAATAAAATATAATGTAAATGCTTACAGATCAGCGTTCAGGTCACGTAGTATAGTTCAACTCCTAATTGTATGTTATATAGTAAGGCTATGTGGTATAGTTCAACTCCTTATTGTGATTCAATGGCTAAGTTACATTTTATTCATCACCTTGCACGATTGCATCAATTTTATATTCTGAAATTGTTCTAGATCAATAAATCGGAAAAGTTTGAGAAACTTGAAAGAATGATGGACAGTGCCGTTTCTAATATCAAAGTATTCACGTGATATGTCTTTATTATTTTTTTATGCACTGTAATCTTTGTCAATGTATGATGCTTTCTATAGATTTTTCGACTTTTATTTGATTTCATGGATTTATCATGATTGAACAGCCTGCATAAATGATTGAAAATCTACAACCACGCAGGAGCACCTGAAGTACGGCGACCAAAAGTCATCCAGTGATTTTGTCTTGAATCAGATTGATGAGATTTTTGCAAGATACCAATCATGAAACTTCAACCATCCAGCTCATTCGTTCGTTCATTCGTTCGTTCGTTCATTCATCACATTTATTTTCTCATTGTCCTTTCATCTCATTTGTAAATTTGTTTGTTACCACAGTTATTTATTTATGTTTTAGACGTGTTTTATTTTTTTAAATAATTTTATTTTTGGAATCATTAAAAATAAATTTCTGTAGAAAGCATGTTCTATGATCCGCTGCTCATCTTGCAAACTTGCATCTCATTTTTTTACTTGTGTTAAAACGGATCGTAATGTAACTCATTTTTCTATATATTTTTGTTTTAAAAATAACTATCGGATTGAAGAGCTCCAAGGAAGGAATGCATTTTTTGTGGGAGCGTGGAGCGTGAATGAATTCGACATTGGCTTACAGACTCCGGATTATTTAATTAACTATACGTGGTTTGAAGAAATATCGACAACATTCATTGATAATTGCATTACATAATAACCATCCAAGCCCAAATTTATGTTTGTAAATTATATTAAACGAACTGGGCAAATTAGATTTTGTTGGTTTGTTTCAAGTCACACGGGATAAAACCGTGCTCTAGTTGTTTGATAAAATTAAGCTGTCAATACGGTCTGTTCTTCCGTCCTTTAATTCATTCATTCTTTTAGTTGGTAATCTTCATCCGCCCATATCCGTTCATTCAGTTCTTTATTTTATCTACTCCACCATTCGTTCATTCCTTTTTTCATACACTCCATCCATACATACGCAATGACTCATTTCTATCGCGCGATGCGTAATGTCCGCGTGCTGTATGTTTAGTGGGAAACCAAAATGAAAAAGCATCTCGTCGTCTTCATTTCACCGACACCAGATTTCGGTCACGAGAACATGATGTTCTGTCTACAAATTTTATTGAAAAAAATAAAATAAGAATGAATAAAATAATATTTCACTGGCACTTTGCAGGGGCAGATGGAAAAGTCGTGTTGATTTGACGTGTAAGAAATTCTAACGGACGAATGTTGTTGGATGTGCGTCGGTATGTGAGATGGTTCAAAACAAGTGCATGTCGAAGAAAGCACGAATGTCTAACGTGTTTAACCCGGAAGCAATGGAAGATTATGTTGGCCTCCTAGACCAGGGGTGGGGAAACTACGGCACGCGAGGCTTTCTTCACCATAAAAAAAGGTCGTCAGCCTGACATTATGACCAAACAAAGGAGCCACAAATCTTAAATAAATTCTCCCCCGGGTCGAACAATTTGCTATTTAAGTACATATGCGGCCCTTCAAAGGTAAAATAGTTCTCAATGCGGCCCTCACAGCAAAAAGTTTGCCTGCCCAACTCTGTTCTAGACGAACATCATTTCAATACTATCGTGTAACTTAGAAGTGTACAAAAATATTTCAGCCATTTATTTTCATTCTACTAAAACGCTATAATGATTTATGAAACGGTAGTCTCGCAAAAATTTCTCGAGTGCCGCTAGTCATACATGCATACGTGTACACTTTCATACACAATTGTCTAAACTGTGCATTCGCTTATGCATACAAACGTACTTACATATATACGTGCATGCATGCATACATACATAAACATACATACGCACTTTTAAACAGGGCGTATGTATAAGGCGCGTCAATGCGTGTACGTACAGCAAGGCAAGGCAAATAGCTTTTGTGCAGACGACACGAAGGATAACATTTAAAGCAGCAACATCATTATCATTACCACCATCATCATCGTCATCACCATCTCTTTCATCATCGTTGTGGTGGTCATCGTCTTCTTCATTAGCACTTCTACTTATGCGTATCACTTATATATATATATATATATATATATATATATATATATATATATATATATATATATATATATATATAAAATGAATTGCTGTGTTTATCTCTTTTTCATATCGTTAAGGTTTTTGTACGTGCGATCAGGTATGTATGTATGTATGTGTGTGTGTGTATGTATGTATGTGTGTGTGTGTGTGTATGAATGTAGCGTACATCTACCGGATTCATGTACCCTTTATTTAATCTGTTATTGTTTATTTCGATTGTTTTAGTGTGTTAAATCTTGCCTGCCATTAAGTTATTGTACCGACAATCTATCTTCACTGAAAATCACTTTTCTACCGCTTTCCAAAACTTCTCAGAATGCTCTTCTACTTTTCACGGTGTATTTAAGTTATTCTTATTATTGGTTTGTATTTATTATTATTATTTGTTTGTATTTATTTTGATTTATTATTATTATTTGTTTTTCTAATTATTATTCATCATACTTTTATTCTCATTGTATAATATTCCCGAACGATCATTCAAGCCTGTCAATATCCACTGAAGCAAATGCATTTTCTATTCTTGTTGTTTCTACATTCACGTCATTCAGATTCAGAGAGAGAGAGAGAGAGGAGAGAGAGAGAGAGATGCAAAGAGGCAAGTATAAACTAAGTGGCCACTTCTAATTATGCACATGGTCACTTTTTTGCTAATTGAGCCTGAGATGAGATGATGGTGACGCAAATATAAGTAATTAATAACAGTCATCTTATGTGGTCATCTGCCTTCTGTCTCTGCAACTCCATCCTATGTTTATTTGTCAGCCAGTATAATCACACGTATCACATGCATCTTGCGTGTGTGTGTGTGCGTGTGCATATATGTTACAAAGCTAGAAATTATGCTATTTGTGTATTCATATTTAGCATATTTAATGATCTCAAACGTATGGCAGCATCATCCAATTATGGAAAAAAAGAGTACAAACAGTTCCCGCAAGTTGTGATATTTTCAAAATCTGGGTTAGGCAGGGAAAAGAGAATTATGTATGCTGCTGACAAATTTAATTAAAAACGTTTTGGATCAACTCAGCATCACATGTAACGTAAACACACACACAATCTCACGCACTGGCATACACATACATATACAATCACACACAATCTCACACACACAGACGCAACACATACACACACTAACAGGATTACAAACGTTGATAAAATGTTTGAAATCATATGAATGATTGAGCTCGGTTTTCAAAAAGTCATCTCATTAATTTAAATTAAAAATTTGTCAGAAATCGAATGAACGGTGATGTATGACATTTGTGGATGTGTAAATGTGTGCGTGTGTGTGAGCTTGTGTGTGTAAGAGAGAGGAGAGAGAGAGAGAAAGAAAGCGTGAGTTTGTATAAAAAAATTATTTGATGTATTCCAATAGAACTCTGTATGAATATTTTATTAAACTGAACTCTATAAATTGGGGAATAATGTGAATGATATCCTGAAGTTAAACCCACACGCAGGCACTCACATATATACAATTGTAAAAGTAGAGAGAGAAAGAGGGAGAGAGAGAAAAAATAAAGAATAATAAAATAATAAAAGAGAAAAAATTAGAAACAGAAAGAAAGAAAGCTCGAGTGAGAGAGAGAAAAAAATGTTCAGACATAAATATAAACATCTCGGAGATCTTGCCATTGATGATTTTTAACCTTTAACCTTTTGACTTTCCATTACTGGGGTCACATGTTGAATGGATGCTCACTGCACGCGCGCACACACACACACACATATATATATATATATACACACACATATATACAAACACACACACACACATGATAGTATAACTTACATATACTACATCAACATAAAAAAAACTTTTATACAAAAAAATGCATGCATTAGCAGGATACAAAGTGCCTATATAAAATAACATAGACGGTT